TCCCTCTGGAGACTCTCTCTCTGCAGGGTATTTGGTCTTCTCTTCCTACGCAGGTCATGTCTTTGAACACGTGGGGATACCCACATTTCACCTCACTACAACGCAACCTGCCCATCAACTGCGGTGTACCCACATTATACTGCTGGATGGGCAGTGTGAATCTAAAGAAACGCGGACCGTAGTTTCATCTCTCGCCCTCACAGATTCACCCCCCTCTCCCCTCTGGCTTGCAACCAAAGTGTCAACACCCAAGAGCTCACGGCAGCCACTGACGTTAAAGACTAACCACCCACCCACCACCACCACCAAACCAGACAGCTGGGATCTTGCCACGCGCTGTTCGACGCGAGTTTGACGGCACTGCGGATTTCGGCGACGGGATGAACATTTTTTTTGAATGTCGCTTCAAGTTGTCAATCCCCTCCTCCCCCACGCCCCACTCCACCCCCCTTCTCATTACCAATGATTCAATCTCGCATTGACACAGCGTGCATCACGCAGCGTAGGCGCGTGTCGGGCAAGATTAGAGATTTATATTCTGGGTTTTTTGTTGTTTTGGATTGCGACTTCCCTTCCTTTAGGCGACGCGTACCCCGCGCTCCCCTCCGCTGCGGGTTACCACTTGGGGACGCTATAAGGCAACAAAAAATAAAGATAGAGTAGTTTATAAACCGTCAATAATCGCAGAAGGTCGCGTAGCAGTGCCAAAGAATTGTGGATATGACGCGCGCGCGCGCGTTTTGTTTGTTTGTTCTTACGCCGTGGCGCGACAAACTTGACAACAACAACAACGTGACCCCCCCCCCCCCACCCTGCTCGCGCACTAATTCGACACTTTCGCGAAATCGTCGTCGTAGCCTGAACCACGTCCAAATAACGCGCCGCGTGGTTCGAGTCAATGGCATTCACGGGTTAGTGTTGAGGCTTACGATTGTGAAACAAAGGCGAGGTGGGTTGGAGGTGGTGGTGGTGGGGGGGGGGGGGTTGGTCCTAATACGCGACCCACAGCGAGATGACGAGTTGCACAAACCGGCTGCACGCAAACCGAATCGCTCACACGCGGACGTCTCTGCAACCAGTTGCGCAATTGGGTTGCTCACAGGTAGACGAGACTCTTAGTCGAAAGCAAATGTTGTTGTGCAACTGATGCACTCAAGTGTGCACCCAGCATGACGATCACTAGTGTGACGCATTGTCTCTCGTCGTTGTTTGGTGTGTAATGTTCGTAGTCCGAAGTCTCCAAGCTCACACCAGGAAAGGGGGGGGGGGGAACGTTGGCTCCTCTCCATAGATGCACCTCCCCCCCCCCCCCCCCGAGCTGTGAATAAATTCCACATTCACATGGCGAGGGGTGGGTATCTCCAGAGGATAAGCGCAGGGGACTTCCTGCGTAGTACCTATTTTATCGCCCCCCTCCCCAGTGGGATGATGAGCCGACCTCGGGCCACGATGACAGTCGGCCAGTTTGAGGATACAAGTTTCGGGGCGGGTTTCCAAAAGGGGGATGGCAATTTATCAGGACTACGATTACAACTAACGCTAAGGGCCGGGGGGGGGGGGGTCGGTTAACTGCTCCAGCATGGGACTTCGCTTCCGAACGAAATCGAAAGGGGGTTCTCCACACGTGTTGCTGTGCACGTAGCAGGCAAACACTCACTTTGAGGTCTTTCGCAATTCGTTTGCCACACGGAGGTCATGGAATAAAAATTCGCACCAGCTGCTGTCCGACCCCAACTACAAACACGGCCTAACACCCTCCCCTCCTCGTCTGCTGCGGGAGTGTAACATCCCCATGAGAGAGAGAAGTAGTTACTGCACTCAGGATTTTAAGACGCACCACCCCCTCCAGAAAAAAGTTTACGTGTTTATTTTAAAATGATAAAAAATTTACTCGGTGTTTTATAATTGGGTGTATACGGTATTGGTATGGGGCTAAATGTCTTCCAGAAGATGGGGGGTACGAACACAACTTGTTTTGCAACGGAGAGAATAAAAATGTCTTTTGGGAAAGATAATTTTCGAGGGGCTTTGCACTGTCTTCTGTTCTCTGGGTGGTCAATGTCTTGCGATGGTGGAGAACCATCTTTCGGAAGATGCAATTTTAACCAGACTATAAGGCTTGCCTTTAACTTTTTTTAATTTAAAATAAGAGGGGGGGGGGAGGGGTGAGGTGGTGGTGTGCGGGGAGTGCATCATAATCTGGAGAAAACAATATACAACGGGGTGATAAAAATGCCAACACCAATGACGAAGAAGAGCGAACACTTCTTACGAGTAACGGCCCCGGTAGCCCGACACCGGACCCGCATCTCGGGGGACATTTCATTCACCAGCCACAGATCCACAACAGTGTCGACGGATCGGCTGCCCGCGGCGATAACGGAGTCGCGCAAGTCGACAGCGCAGCAATCCCCCTGGATCCCTTGAATCAGTGCGATGTTTCACAGCGAGATGCAGTTCCATCACCACTGCTGCTCGCTCTTTAACCCCCCTCGCCCCCCCCATTGTGAATTCGACCTCGATTAGCAACTACATGACCCCCCCCCCCCCTCTCCCTCACAGATCCCCGGCGTTTCTCTCGTTGTCCAAGGTTAGTTTTCAAAGGGGCATTAGTGTTACAGACTGGCGCGCGGCTTTCGAGGACACGGCGTGAGAGCGTAGCGGGCCGAGCACGAGGTCGTCATGGGGGTGACGGGAATTGTCGTCGCTTCCGCTGGAGGGAGCGAATCCCAAGTCGAGGTTTGGGAGTTAAAATTCTGGTTTGGGAGGGGGGGGTGACTAGGCCCATTTCGTCACTCCAGGGTCGATAAAATAGATACCACTTCGTGGGGAAGTCTCAACTGTTGTTGTTGTTGTCGCGTGGGTATACTTGTCCCTGCCGTAGGAACGTGGAATTGGGCTGCAAATAAGAAAGTACCACTGCCTCAATGCTCATTTTAAGCAGGAAATCGTTGACTTTTTTAGGCAAATGTAGCAGCGTCCAAGGAGCATCAGTGATCAGTGCTGGGCAGTAATGAATGAACGTCATGATATTATGATGAATCACCACAACGATATCACTGTATTGTAGCAAAAAAGCTATGCATTCAATCTTGATTTAAAGCTTTCGTGACTGCAGGAATTCACTCAAGTTCTTTCGGTAAAGTCACTTGGGTAGAAAAAATAATAGATCACGACGTTTCGATCGCCACAAAAGCAACCGTCTTCTCTCTCCTGAAGATGGTTGCGTGTGTGGCGATCGAAACGTCGGGATCTATTATTTTTCCTACCTACGTGACTTTACCGAAAGAACTAAAGCGTGGAAGCTATGCATTATAACGGTTGCTTGTTTGTAATCAAATTGCCGTTACCTTGGCATGCACGGGCTGATTCACGACTACCTATTATTACTTTTATTGTTATAATTACTCGTAAAACAACTTTAAAAAAAGGGGGGGGGGGGCGAAATTTACGGCGACATCGGCAGCCCGAGTTGCTGCCACCACACAACAGCGTTCACATAGGTCAACCTCCATGGGGAGCGGGTGGCGTTGCATTGAAAGCACGCCGCCGCCACGCTCCCCGAAAATTAAACCAACCTCGCGCAAGAAGTCAGTAGAGAGAGAGTAAATCGTAAAAGTAATCGAGCGAGGAGATCACATCACTCTGCAATCTCAGAACACAGCTAATACCAGACTATGTTAAGTTACTTCTAAAATGCCGAGTAGCCGGCAAGCGCAGAGAGACAGAGAGAGAGACAGAGAGAGGCAAAGTACTCTTCTTAAGCCACCCTCCCCATCACTGGCAATGCATGGAGGAAGCCAGGATGAGACGGGCGTCCGCAAGTGACGAGCGTTTGCCGGGGAAGCTCGCCGCATCGGAGGAACGACGGCCGCATCGAAGGCCGCTCCATCGCTTCGGAAGAACCGACGCCGAGGGCTTGTGCCGCCACCATCGTCGTTGTCGCCAACATCCCCGGCAACGCCACCAATGACACTCGAAGCAAAACTTCCCCCACGGCAGCTGTGGGCGACAAGACTCCACCGGAGTGCCGCGTGCGTCACGCCGAGCCGAGAGGCGCCGTGCGATCCGGCGATGTGGTAAATGGGAGTGTTGTGGGTTCGGTTTCTCCGTATCGCGACGCGATTTTTGTGCGGTGGTGGTGGTTATTGTGGTGTGATGTTGTATGCTCGTCTAAATGTGGTGTAAATGTAGTGTGGTCATTTAATGAGGATCTGGTGTGGCGTGGCTGTGTGGTAATGGAAGAGGAGCTGTGGGAGTGTGGTATCATGACGAGGTGGTGTGGCTGTCGCATGCCGAGGTGTGGTACTGTGGGCAAGCAGCACGACGGCGTTCTTCGGCAAGACGCGGCGCGGCACAATGCGGCATCATTACGTGGCTCGGAGCGGCCTGGCACGGCATCACGCAGCCGGGCGCGCGGCTCGGCAAATTGGCACGCGTAGCAGCGCACCTCTTTGTGAACCCCCCCCCCCCTTCCGAAAACATCACAACCACGCTGCCCTCGCGGCCGCTCATCGTCGTCAAAGTTCCAAATCTTCTGCTACAATCCGCGGCGGGGGGGGGGGGGGGGGCGAGGGAGATACCGTCGAGGCCTACAAAAGCACCGCACCGTGACCGACGTCGCAAGGGCCGAGTGGTGTCCGGGGGGGCGGGGGGACGTAGTCGATTGGGGGGCGCTGTTCTCCCCTCCGCTGCCGATGGTCCCCTGCCGTTCGTCGCTTGCCACCGTCATTTCCGCGGCCGGTTCTGGCCCTGTATATTGTTCCTTTTCTTCCCCCGTCTGGATTGTGGATTTTTTGTTTTACTTACAATCTCCCAGACGCGTTGCTTCGTTTCTTGTTTACGTCTTCCCCCCCCCCCCCCCCGCGTGCATTCCTTCAATCTCACGGCACGCACGCGAAGTGAATGAGCGTCGGCGGAAATTGGCGCCACGGCGAATTGGCGAACAGAAACACCCCCCCCCACCCGCCCACCACCACCGCCCCCCCCCCAGGCCCCTCCCCCCCCCAACCAAAACAAAGCCCATCATAATTAAAATAATAATAATAAGCAGAACGTTTCACAAACACTATTCGAACAATGTTAACAATATCAACAATAACACTTTTGTTGTTTAAGACAGTTCTCTTCTGCTCGTAAAACGCCAAACCCGCAGAGCAGAGGGGAACGGACATGTGCGCCCAGAGAAGCAGCGAGCACGAGGTGGGGCCCTGGGGGGCTTTGGGGGGCTGTGGGGGGGGGGGCGGTAGTCGAGTGGAGTTCGACGGGCAGGTGGTCCAGCCGGGAGGGCCGCTGGGAGCCACGCAGGAAGTGAGCGGGCCCCCCACCACCCCCCCTGACGGCCGAGTAAAACAAAGCCGGGCCCTCGCGTCAAAACGGTTCGGTCGGCGGCGTCGCGGGGAGAACACGGCAAGATGAGCTGGGGTCGGGGTCGGGGTGAGGGGTGGGGGGGTGGCGATGGGCGACGACGGCGGCGGCGCCAATCGCGAGCGGGGGACGGGGGGACCCGGCGTCACAGAGTCAGCGTGAGCGGCGACGATCGGTCGCCTTTCTCGGCGCCCGTGGCTCAGGGCAGCGGCCGGATGAGGTAAAGCTTGTCGCCCTGGCTCGAGGTGAAAATGGGCGCCCGCTTGTAGTGCTCGATGAGGTCGGCCATGCTGCTGAAGCGCCGCTGGCCGATGCAGAAATCGTTGCCGTTCTGCTGCACCTTGAAGTGCTTGTTCTTGCCCGTCGCCTTCAGGGAGACGGAGAAGTCCGTGGGCTAAGGGGGGAGGGGGGGAGAGGAAATGTGAGAGGGAAGAGTTGAAGTATAGGAGGGAGAGTGGAAGGGAGCGTGGGAGGGAGAGTGGGGAGAGTGGGAGAGAGAGTGGGAGGGAGAGTGGGAGTATGGGAGGGAGAGTGGGAGGGAGAGTGGGAGGGAGCGTAGGAGGGAGAGTTGGAGGGAGAGTGGGAGAGAGAGCGGGAGAGAGAGTGGGAGGGAGGGAGAGTGGGAGGGAGAGTGGGAGGGAGAGTGGGAGAGAGAGTGGGAGGGAGGGAGAGTGGGAGGGAGGGAGCGAGGGAGTATGGGAGGGATGGTTTGTAACACTTTTGCCTGTGCTCTTATTTCAGTATTTCCGTATGCACGGCACTGCATTTTGCTGCACTGCCCTCTGCTGCCAATGACGTAAATCCACAGGCGAAGTGAATTCTGGCTCAAATGAGCGTTGAGACTGTGTTCAGGCCCCATTTACAGCCCTTGGCAAGTGGTGGGAATTCCACACGCCTATAAACCCACTACTGACCTCGCAAAGTGCTACTCATTTTATCGATCACAACGGGAAAGGGTTCTTAGCAAACGTGCCATTGTTATTTATTGAAACAGCCCCGCTGGCCGTGTGCGCGTGCGTGTTATTTGCTATTTGTGCTCACCGACGACTCGCTGTTGCGCACCAGGAAGTCCCCGTCGACTCCGCGCTCATTGAGGGCGTCTTCCGCCTGCTGTCGCGTCACGTGGCCATAGTACCAGGGCCGCCCGGCAAACTGGCCCGACGACGCTGGGCCCAGGCAGCCGGCCAGCACCGCCGCGCTGCATGCATCGGCACACGCACACGGACTAAGGACAAGAGATCCAACCCTACCCCCTGCCGTGTAGCCCCGACAGACTGTTGGGGACAAGGAGCGTAAAAAAGCACCACGCAAACTCCGGTCGGCACCCTTGCAGCAGCAGCGGCAGCTTTCGGCTGGGCCATCGAACAAAGACCGTCACCGCATCGCACGGCGCTTTCAGATGCGCTTCTGCGGCCGTCTGGAACGCTCTTCGTTCCGATGTTAGGAAGCCACTGGAGCTATGCACTGAGAACGATTGTTAGAGGGTGCTTTATACATTTTCATTACTATTATTAAATCAAAATTGAAAACTCGTTTCTTTATAACTATTTTTGTGTTTAGTTTGTAGTTCTTTCTCCGCATTTCCGATTAACACAGCTGGCTGTGTACAGTGCGAAAGAAGTTTAACATACATTCCACTGCCCAAGGTGCACACAACTCTGTCGTGTGCCCGCGTGTGCCCGCTTGTGTCCGCGTGTGTCCGCGTGTGTCCGCGTGTGTCCGCGTGTGTCCGCGTTTGCCCGCGTTTGCCCGCTTGTGCCCGCGTTACCTGTGAGCTCGCTGGCTGGGTGAGTCGGGCACCACCTGCACGTAGTTGCGTGGCACCAGCCCGACGCGCCCGTCCGACTTGCGGCAGCGCCACCACTCGGGATCGTCCTCGGGTTTCTCCAGCACGTCCATGACCTCCCCCTGCGTGGCACCGCGACACGCACACACAGGGGCCGGCGAGCGGGGTGGTGCAAGTGTGGTGCACACGAACAAGGGGACGAGGGGGGAGTGAGAGGGGGTGTAAGTTAGTGTAAGAGGGAGAAGGAAGGGGGTCATACATGGCGCGTACGACGAGAGTAAAAAAACAAGTAATCGCGACGTTCCCACTGGAATCCCAACCACAGAAAATATTCCCACTTCCGCACCAACCAATTTTTTCCAGGCTCAATATTCCCCAATGGGATTTCCCGCTCAAGTATTTCCACTAGTACTCTGCCCCTCCCGTACATCCCCATGGGAATTCCGCCCTTCGTACGCGTTTCCATGGGAATTCATCACCCTCGTGCTTTCCCATGGGAATTCGCCACCCCTGTTGCATCCCCATGGGAGTTCCTCCTCCCTCGCGTGCGTTCCACACTGATCTCCACCTTGTTGAAGCCGAGTTCCTCGTCGCTGCCGGAGCTGAAGGGGTACATGGCGTGCACCACGTGCAGCACCTGTGGGCACGCTGGGGAGACGCACGCTCCACCGCGGTTTCCTACACACCCACGCACACACATAGCACACACACACGTACATATATACATCGCATATATATATATATAACACACAAATATCACACACACGCACGCATGTACACAAAGACAACGCTTCCCTCAATAACATTTCACATGCTGTAAGTGTTGCTCGCAGGCTTACAAAGAGGGTAGTGTGCCCTGAACTATGCCTAGCCGTCTTTGTCTCCCCAGTGCTAAATGCTGTCACACTGCACTAGGTACACACGAGGCTGAGTGTACCTAGAGGAGGGCCCACGATCGGTTGGTTCAGATATCGTTCACTACACCGCTCGTTAGCCGAAGCCGGAAATCAAACTCGGGTCGCCAGGTTCGTAGCGCAGCTTTCATTTCAGACGAGAAACCTTCAGGCGGCAGGCGAACACCCACCGCACGTCCCCACGAAAAAGCCGCGTCGTCTCTCTGGGGGTGGCACGGTGGTGAAGCGGTCACAATTGCGTCTCACGGGAAGAAGCCCCCGGGTTCAATTCCAGACTCTTGTTTTTCTTCTTGTGGAGTTTGTATGTCTACCCCAACACATCCCACCTCCACCCACCCCCACCGCCCCCTAAACCCACCCCACTGTTTCTCACGGGTTTCTTCCGTGTTCGCCAGGCCTCTTCCCAAAGCTAACGACAGCACACAACGTAACCGGCGTTGGCCAAATATATCCCCAATGCTGAAATACTGCCTACGAATTACCCACGTGGGACGACGCACGTAGCAACACGTTCCCCCGCCCCTGCAACGGATAAACATGGCAAAAAAGTTCTAGATTTGAAGCTTTCGTGACTGCAAGGATTCATATTCTTAGGTTTGTTCGGTAAAGTCACGTAGGTAAAAAATTTAAATTTATAAAAGTAAAATAAAAATAAAAATCACGACGTTTCGGAGACAACACAAGCTTCCGTCTTTAGGTGGAACCGTCACAGCCCGACAGCTGTACTTGATACAGCTCTACTTGATACAGCTGTCGGGCTGTGATGGTTCCACCTGAAGACGGACCCTTGTGTTGCCTCCGAAACGTCGTGATATTTATTTTTATTTAACTTTTATTAATTTTAATTTTTTACCTACGTGACTTTACCGAAAAAACCTAACAATATGGCAGAAAAGCTCGCAACAAAAAAAACGAAGTGTTTCGAGGCTTTCCTCAGTAAAAGAAGCGTAAATAATAAACATGAGAAAGTTGGGGGGCAGCGTTCGCAAAGAGAGTCTATGCAGCTTCCGCGCTCGCCGGATCTTCGCAAGAGGCACGCGGTAACCGCCCCCCCCCCCCCCTGCTGTCAGGCACGGTGGGAGCGTGTTTTGTGGCCGGTCACGCTCTCACTTCTAACTGTGGCGACCCCCGCGCGTTTAACCGATTTTGCGGGCGCGGCCGCGCAATGATGCGGGCAAAATATCTATCCCGAGGCCCTTGGCCGACACGGGCGAATAAAATTGTAATTGGCACGCCCGCCGCAAACGTTTAATGACGCGCCAAATTTTTATTTTTGTTGTTGTTGTTTCGGCTTGACGTTGCTTGTCAAAGTCGACTTGCAATTCGAGCCAACCAACATTGTTTAAGCAGATACTAAACAAATTTTTTTTTTATTTTACCATGTAAGGCCCACTGAGCTATGCAGTTCTTTTTCAGAAGTGACCTGGCCACAAATGATAGTTGAACAAAGTGGCTCATCACGTGGAAATTTATAGCAGCCAAATACTTGAAACGCTTGATCTCGATTCTAAATGTGGAGGGGAAAAATCTGAGAAAAATCCACGCGACAACGCGGCGAACAAACTCTAAATATTCAGCAGATGTCAGGGTCGGGAATGAGCTCACGACCTCTCCTGTATACCAGGCGATGTAGTTAACATCTCACCACCGACGTTCGAAACTGCGTTGTCAAAGCATCTTCAGGAAGCTAGGAATAAAACCCAGGGAGACGGAAAACCCCGCTGGGATGGGTGGGCACGCACGCGCACCGTCTCGTATCTCACCATTGGTGGCCGACAGCGCCGCGGCGAGCGCCGTGCCCAGGCGAGGAGACGCAGCGCCGGCGTCGAGACGCCCCATCCCACCCCCTCCTCCTCCTCCTCCCCCTCCTTCCACGACCTCCTCCACCACGTAGTTGGAAGGGAACCAGCCTTCGCGGCCGTCGCACGCCCCCCGCCACCAGCCGTCGTTGCACTTCTCCTGCACGGTGACGCGAGCACCCTGCGTGGGGCGCCGACGGCAAAACAAACGCGGTAACGCAAACGCCCCGCGGTGCAAAATACAACGCAGAGGTCGCAACCGGGTACCCGATACCCGTACCCTACCCGATACCCGGCTACCCGTACCCAGCCGGATACGGGTAGCCGGGTACCCGTTTGCGACCCTGGTGGAGCCGGGTACGGGTAGGCCGTGAGTGACTGGTGAGTAACCGTTTGTCACTCATTTCCCAACGTCTTGTCTCTTCTCACAATTCAAATTCCTAGAATCAACCCACCCGCGCCTGCAACATGGCTTCATCCCAGAGGTCGCAATCGGGTACCCGATACCCGTACCCTACCCGTACCCGGCCGGGTACGGGTTCGGGTACCCATTTGCGACCCTGGTGCGGCCGGGTAGGGGCAAGGAATCAAAACCCGTTTGCGACCTCTGATACAACACCATACTGTGCGATATACAAAACAAAACTCAGGGAGCTTGATGGACCACAGACAGGCGGGAAGGCAGCCACACGGCAAGCCGGCGCCAACAATTGCCCAAGTTCTGCTGTCCTCTATATACGAGGGTGTTACCGGCCAACTAATGATTGTTTACATGTGGGCCGAAAAGAGTGCACCTGGAGAAATCCAACCCGTGCGAGAGCGCAACACTATTTCATGCAGACGGAACCGGTGTTGTCCACATTTTTACCGTTGCCGCCTTTTCTCCTGGTGAGCCAGGGTACGGCCACCTCCACGCCCACGGGAAGGGAGTTTCACAACGACTCCAAAATGCTGCGTTACGGGCGCGCTCAGCCACCACCAGCGCCTGGGTTGCCATGTACCAAAGGCAAAAATCTCTCCGCGATAGCGGTGGTGCCCTTTGAAGGCAGAGTAGCGGGCAGGGCGTTACGTGCTTTTCTAAACACGGTAATGGTTCGTTTTTTTGGGTTAAATCACATAAATATGAATGTGTCGTTAACCTACCACCACCACCAGACACGGCCAATTAGTAAGGTTTGTCATGTAAACAAAACGCCGGTGTGTAGGAGCGTAAACCCACAACATTTACAATTTGAGCATGACGTTTCGCTGGCGATTGCAACAATCAGCTCCATCAGACGATTTGCCAGAATTGTGAAGACATCTTCCAGCTTTTGTCTCAAAAAGAGTAAAGGTGATGTCATCACTGTGAGCCTATCAGGTGCGAAGACCGGGGGCGGGGGGGGCGTTTAATTTAACCGCTAAAATCCCTGCCCCACATCATCCCATCCTCCGTCCAGCCCCCACCTTAATGAGCGAAAGCTCGTCATCGCGTTCGGCCGCGTAGTTGAACTTGACGATGGCGGGGAGGCTGAGGGCTCGGGTGGTTTCCGTGGGGCTTCCGTCGGGCCCGGAGTCCAACGTGGAACTGGGGCTTGCCGCCGCGCCTCCCTCGCAGTTGCTGGGCTTGCGTTTCACCTTGCCGATGCCTGGCGCACATGCAAGCGGCGGAAGGGAGCAGAAGGGATGGGAGTCGGGGACATCAGTGGTTCATGACGAAGGCACCCCCCGCCCCCCCTTAAAATATGACTGCCAGCTGCCCCCCGTAATAATAATAATAATAGATCAAATTTGCAACGCGCGCAAATTTGCAGACGTAGTGGCCGCAACTCAGAGGCGCGGTGCCAAGCTCAGAGTCGCTCAAAAGCGTGATTGTAGAGGTGAGTTTTTAAGTGTCTCTTCAAGGAGGCGATTGAGGTGATGCTGCGAATGTGCAGAGGGATATCGTTCCAGACTGTTGGGGCTGCCACCGAGAAGCGGCGCATAGACGTGACCATCCTGGATCTTGGTATCAAGAGGAGGTCGTGAGTCGCGCTGCGCAGGCATCTGCCGTGTCCTGCCCTCCCCGAAGGCAGGAAACCCCCCCGCCCCCCACTACCTAGCCACGCCCATCATGACGAGGCTGATCGCGATGCCGAAGACATCAAGCCCCCGTCGGATTCCGAAAGTCTAAATAACGATTCTGATGCTAAACCCTCGTACATCAGCTCCCGTCCAGCAGCACACGTGGGAAGAAAGGAGAGATCTCCCAACTCCTCCACCACCACCGCCACAACTATGTTAATGCCATCCGACTATTCTAGTAATCGAACTGATAATTGGGAGAATGATTGAGATTACATAGGTTACCGAACAGCCCAGCCCTAACTATTTGCGCTTTCATAGCTTCTAAATCTCTTTTCCACAGCAGGTAGGGGTGATACGCAAGGGAGCCCATTTCACCGTCGTGTCTGATGATGTACCTCTGCATTGCTTGTGGACACGTGGCCACAGTTGTGATGTGCGTGTGCTTACCCAGCATGTTCTTGACAAAGCTGCCTTTCTTGAGGCTGTTCTTGCGCTCCACGTAGTTTGATGGGACAAACCCGGTCTGGTTTTGCGCATTGCGGACCTGGGAAAGAAGCCACGACACAGGTATTGAGACAATCCCACGATTTCAGGCGTACATTTCAGATGCTTTCAAGATGTGAGCATTAATTGCTGTGACCACGAAGCAAGCTTTGTACTTGTGTATAATATATCAACCAATTAGGACTGGAACTCGGATTTTTGTCCACAACAGTAGTGAGAATTGTTTTTCAACTAACCGGTGAGAGGAGCTGAAATAACAATTAGCACATTGAACGCATACATGAGTGACAATTAAATTTATTGGACTGTGTAGGGTGGTAGAGGTCCTGACGACACAAATCTGAATCTTCACGTGGCCTCACGCAAAATTCAATCGTCAATCACGTAACATGGACCACGACAAACTGAATGCTAATTAGTCCGCGAACCCAGACCAGATATTTAATTTGCCAGTCACCACCTGAGGTAGCATCGTTTTAGCGGTTCCAAATGTCTCTATGCGGGCCACTAACAGCGAACGATGTGATAACGGTGCGAAACGAGCGGGGTTACCGAGCGATTCATTATCATCAACCGTATTATAATTAAATTAACGCCAATACATTTTTGCCACTTCAGGCGGGGATGCTGATTTTCTGCGCTGACCCACAGACTAAGGAGTAACCGTTGACACCGCGTACCTGCCACCAGGACTTGGAGTCGTCCAGGAGCCAGAGACGCTCATTCTTCTTGATGTTGAGCTCCTGCTCCTGCTGAGCAATGTAGTCATACTTTGCCACGAGGGACACCTCCTCTGCCATCTCGTCAGCCACGGTGGCGAAAGCACGGGGGCAAGGCTCTGCAGGGGAGGGAACACACCACGCAGGGTCCCGCGTCGTCGTCTTTACTGGGCCTCGAGACAAAACCACCGGCGAATATCGCCACGCTCCTATGTGGATTCACAATCGCATCCAAGCCGGTGAATGGGCAACCCAGACACGTTAGGGGGCAACTTGAGGGGCCCTCCTTCACCTCGACAGGCCGCAAGCTCGACACGGCGCTTGTGCACTCTTCATCATGGCGCCGCGCATCGCCCAAGAGACACCGAGACCACCACGCGGAGGGGCACCACGGGACGCAGGGTGCCCACCATTGGTGTAGTGTATAGTGTAGTGTAAAGCGTGTGTAGTGTATAGCGTAGTGTAAAGCGTGTGTAGTGTATAGCGTAGTGTATAGCGTAGTGTATCGTGTAGCGTTTAGTAAGTGTAGTATGTAGTGTGGAGTGTATAATGTAGTGCATAGTGTAGTGTAAAGCGTGTGTAGTGTATAGCGTAGTGTATCGTGTAGCGTTTAGTAAGTGTAGTATGTAGTGTGTAGTGTATAATGTAGTGTATAATGTAGTGTATAGTGTAGGGCAGTAATGGGCAGCCCAGATGCGTGGGCCACATGAGCGGTCGTCCTTCACCCCAATGGGGCTGGAAGTTCGACGTTGTGATTGTGCACTCATCATCACGAGCCCACGCATCGCCCTCGACACACTGGGACCAAGACATCATGACGAGGGGCTCCACGGGACGCATGAGGCCCGCGGGCCACAGATTGCCCAACACTGATCTAAGCCTTTGACCCAAATAGTGATAATAACAACAATTGTAAATTTGGTGTTATAATAATGATGAATATATTTGGTAGAGGGACATGAGAAACGAGAGGTAGGGTACGTAGGTTTTCTCCTGGTGGTCCGGTTTACTTCCCACATGAATAATACACACTCACTAGTTGGCTGAAAACATCTTAATATGTAGATAACATGAGAGCAATTGTTGATGGCCGGATGGCAATCATCCAGAAGTGGTTGACGAAACAGGTTTTTATACTCACATCACAAAATTTAAAACATGGAGATTTTTTTTTTTTAAATATTGCTGCATGAGTAAAAAATGTATCAAACTTAGCTGCACATGTGGTCTGGGCATATCACTTTCATCAGTTTAGCAAACTAAATATGTTGGTCTTATTTCAGAAAATCGACCAAGGTTGCCAAGGATGTGTGGTCAGGTTGGCAAGAAGTGTGGGAGTTTGGAAGGTAGTGGGGACGATGGGGGCAACAGGGAGTGGGGGCGATGGGGGCAGCAGGGAGTGGGGGCCATGGGGGCAGAAGGGAGTGAGGACGATGGGGGCAGAAGGGAGTGAGGATGATGACGGCAGGGAGTTTGGGTGGTGAATGCAGAGGAGAGCCTCATTTTTCCACCTGGTGGTAGGCAGGCAGGGATTACCCCCCATCAGCACAATCGCACAAGCAGACTCTGCTCAATGGCGGAACCAGGATTTTCAGGTAGGGGGGGCAACCCCTCCAGCAATGAAACATGATAGAGGAGTTGTTAGTAAGTAAGGACTTGTCCCTTGCTTTTATTCGATGAGTGTGGCGATAGCGCAGCCATCGATCGAGGGTCGAATTCAAACCGCGTTGTGTGATCGGCATCAGCGCTCGCTGAAGGTGAATGCCTTCAGGGAAGTCGTGTACTGTATACGCAACTCTGTACAATTCTGTGAGTCACTTATAACTGCTTTGCCGTTACTTATTGCCAATTATGGACTCAGACTGTCGTCCTATCATCTTCACTGAGTCCCTGGCACGTAATAATATGCTACACAGTGGCAGTGGGGGTCGCAAAATGCCGATTTATTACTAATAAACCCCAATGATCTGATCGAAATTAGGGATTTCGATCGGATCATTGGGGGTCCACGTGCCACCCCATCCCCCCCTCTGGCTCCGCCAGTGACTGCCCCACCTCCAAAACAGCCACAAAAATGACCACCACCATAAATACTACGTTAAATACTAATAATTAAACAGGTAATCTGAGTATTGGATAAATAGTTGATTTTTTACATTTGCTGGGGTCAATATATTATCTCACAGTAGACTTTCATTGTTATTTTTCATGTTGAGGTGTATTGTTTGGGACGTAATGATGGACTCTGTTTATTGACAAGAACATTAAATTAATGCTGTGGTGACCTCAGGAAGAACCAAAACAGGCAGACACCAGTTGTTATTTACATGTTATCCAGAGATGAGAATTTAACCACTACACCATAAAATCAAAATGCAATTTGCCATTAAGTGACGGTGATGACAACACGGTATTTGTGCAACACGAGGTGCACTTTGAGGCCACATGAAGCGTAGAAGGCTCGCTGGCAGGAGGTCAAGGGACAGACCCAAGTCTTATGGGGTGACTGCCTAAGATGACTTGCAGAGGGCAGCAGTTGTGCTCTGTGCTCCTCTCCGCACCTTGTGCCACTTGGCCGTGTTTTACCACCCAGCTCTCTACTCATTGTTGTGAGCGTCCCTCCTCTGCACTCTATTTTTGCCAGTAGGCGACTGCCTAAAAACTGCCCGGGAGTGTCCTTCAAGAGACTCCATCACAGAGGCCGATCTTGACATCGCTGGTAACAGTCGCTGTAGAAGTTGGATCAGGCCTAAGTCCTCCTGAAGCACATCAGCCCCATCACTTCTGTAGATGTACCTTGTCCATTTAGTGTCTTATATCTGGCCAAACAGAAGCTGTTTTTCATATCCGGACATGCAGCGGCTGGGCATGCGGCTAAAATAAACGAGCCGATGTAAGTAACTTCGCCTGTTGGAGAAGCTCACTGCTGGGACTGTGTCCAGCTCTTCAGGGATGGACCGCAAACACGACAACCTCAACGTTTCTAACTGACGCAGGTATTCCTGTAAAGAGGCCCAGGGTTTCACAACTAATATGAAGAAAGGGCATCAAATGTTGCCAAGGAGACCCGAAGCATGCATTGTCCTGCAACTGATCAAAAATAATTGTTGTTTGACTAATTATTAGTAGTGAGACCTATGTCACCATACCAGAGCTGGTCATGAGCACGCTGGCCAGGTATGTGAACTACTCCGCCCTGTCCACAACCACCCCATTACTCATGGGAGAGTTGAGGGGGGAGGGCATTCAATGATGATGCCAAGTATCCAGGCGGGTGCTTTGTTTAAAGTTTGGGTAAGACCACACTCATCTCGTGACAAGCCCCAGATGCAGCAGTAGAGTGATTCTAATACTTTCTCAGAGTGGCAATTGCCAGGTCCTCGGCAAACCACGTGGTTGAGCCACGTTATGTTCGCCGATGACCTGGCAATCATCGAGCTGCAGTGAACCAATGATTAGACCGATTAGATGTACTAATATTTCGATTTAAAGCTTTCACGACTGCAGGGATTCATCTTCTTGGTTCTTTCGGTAAAGTCACGTAGAAGGGAAATAATAAAATAATAAAAATAAAACATAATAAAATACAATTCTCACGACGTTTCGGCCACAACGCAAGCAGCCGTCCTCAGGTGAAGAACAGTTTTATTATTTTAATATTTCCCTTCTACGTGACTTTACCGAAAGAACCAATAAGATAGATGTACTAATGTTTGATATGGCTATTGTTCACAATTGCACCCACAAAATACATACAAATGTAAAAAAAGCTAAAGCTGCGAGATCAGCCTTGCTTTGCATCTCTACCGGATGTAAATTCCACTTACACAGTGATAGAAAGCTTGGCGATAATGTTAAGCGGTAGTCCAATCATCTACATCACAGCCATACGAAAGAAGTAGTAGAATCGCGGTCACGATTCGAGGTTTAACGCGAGCCGAAGACCGTCGACCAATTCCACCTCGGATCGTGGACCGTCATCTTTTTAACGAGCCCGACGGGGAGTAGGGGAAGGAGGCGGTGGGTGCGGGGGCGGGGGATCGTGTCACCTGCCAGCGGTGCCCGTGAAAGACGTCACGATTCATCCCTCTCATGTCTCCCCCCTAACCCAAGTAACCAACTAAACACCCCATAACACCCCAAACGTGCAGTAGGTGCAGCAGGCAAATGGAGGGCACCTTACCTGCTCCTTGAAGATCACCCATAATGAAGGCGACGTGCGGATTTTAAGCGAGGCTCGGGAGACCCGCGTCCGCCTACTGCCGACGGCCCGGGGACTCTTGAAGATCGTCAACCGTGGTTGAGAGCGAGCTCACTGCCCGGCGGTCCGAGCGGGGCCGGGATCGCCGGGCTCAATTAAAGAGCGTTGGGGCCCAGACCACATTCCCGTCGCACCCAAAAGATGTCAAGGGGAATGGCCCCGGTTAAAACTTCGAAGGCCCCTCCGCACGCGCGCGCACGCACACTTATGGTGCACGACTGTACATGCCCATACGCACTCAAACACGCACGCACGCACACTCGCAGGCGGACTCACACACACACAAGCACTGGCCCGCACGCCATACACACACTTGCACACGCCCACACACGGGCGTCCCCCCGCGCCAGATTGTGGCTTCCGCCTCCCCAGCGCAGGCCCTTATCTCCGGGCTCGAGATGGTGAATTCTGTGCCGCAGCTCTGCACACAGAACCACGCTCCCGAGAGCCGCAGCCAAAGCGACGCGTGTGAGTTTGAGCGCGTGTGCTGGGGCTCGCCGACGCCGCTTGCAGCCCTATCGTGCGCGTACAGCGCGTTTTGTCATTCCTCCGCTGGATGAGGGCCTACCACAACACGTGAGGTTGTGCCGATTGCTTGCCCACACATCCCCATGCTGCTCAGGCCTGTAAGGCGCAGGAGTGGAGCATAGACGCGGGGAGCAAAAAAAATATAGTGCAGTAATGGATTCTGCTGTATGTACGTAGAACTTCTTTCGCACTGTACGGAGCCAACCGTGCTAAACGGAGGTGCTGCACCGCCCTCTGTTGACCACACGTAACGTCGGGCTATTAACCCGCGTATTGTTCACAATTTACAAACCTGTGCACATTGCGTGCAGATGTTACACGAGAACAATG